AATGAATTATATAACATACTACTGGATACAATCTATTTTGTACTACATAGAACTACATAGAGTCTACATTTGAAGAAGGGGGAGGGACAAAGCAGGGGGAAGGACAAGGAAGGGAAAGGGAGGAAGGAGGAAGGGGGAGGGACAAGCAAGGGGGAGGGAGTGAAGGGGGGGAGAACAAGCAAGGGGGAAGGGGAGGGGAGAGGGACAAGGAAGGGGAAGGGAGTGGTGAATGGAAGAGGGAGTGATGAGGAAGGAGTGGTGGTGTCTCGTCATTGCGTGCCGTGGGGTGGTGTTTTCGTGGGCAGTGGGTCGTTTTCGTTGGTGTCTGCTGGCGTTGTTTTTGGTTCGCTGGGCATTGATTCATGTCTGCTGGCATTGTGCACTGTCCACTGGCATCTGCGGGTGTCGTTTTGCGTCTGCTGGTGTCGTTTTGTGTCTGTTGGCATTGTTTTTGGTCTGCTGGGCATCGATTCGCGTCTGCTGGTGTTGTGCGCTGTCCACTGGCATTGTTTTGAGTCCGCTAGCATTGTTTTGTGTCCGCTGGCATTGTTTTGTATCTGCTGGGTGTCGTGTTTGGAGAGCATGATTCACAAGTATTAGTGACCTTACCCCAACAACACTGAGCCCCCTGACCATACAAACAGGCCATGGTTGATGGTGCCTGCTGATGAGCCGATGTATATGTTGACCCCATCAAAGCTGGCTCGGCCACCCATATTTTCTTGATGAGTGGTTCTGTGTGCCGGCCGACCAGCCTAAGGATGAATTGACCCCACTGAAATTGCCTTGGATTGTGGGTCAGCTGAACAGATTTTGATTCCTCACAATATGGATCAGCCCACTTGCTGCACCCTGGCTCGGCAAAGTCAGTTTACATACCCGAGGTCATGAATGTCATTGTCAGCCCCAAGCAGAGATGAGGCCGGCCCCCATCTGTTGCCATCTCCAGCCCGGATATGGCCAGGCCCAGTCGGCACCACACTCCCTACCATTCTTTGGCTTGTCTCCAATTAAACAATTTATGTTGCCATCTGTCCCGTGATGATAGCCAGCCCGGCTAACACATGGGCTAGCTAAGTTTACTTGTTCATATGTTGTACCAACCCCCTAATGTTCTTTTCCATGTCCTGCATTCAAAATCACCCTCTGGTTTTATGTTTGCATCAGGCCATTGAGTACATTAGCTGGTCCTGTATTCTGGTGCAAAGTTACTGAGCAGACAAGGTCATTGAATCTGTACAAATGCATGGAAACAGTGAATCAAACATGTTCAGATGCAAAATAATGGAGCCAACAAGTGGGAAATAGTACAAATACCCGGGTTTCACCTTCAGTGATTGAATCGATTCCATATTAAATCATCGTGTCTGAACCAGTGCATTTTTCAGGGAAGAGATGTGTGAGCTGGTGCCATGTCTGGGTGAAATTACACCGAGCAGACATGAATTACATCAGTAAAGGTGCACATCGGGTGATGCAGGCATTTGAATTCTAAACTGTTGAAGTACCTTGGCTGGTGCCATGTCCAGATGCAAAATAATCAAGCAGACAAGTGAATGAAATCAGTAAAAATGCCTGGGCTACACATCGGGTGATATTAAATTGTTGAAGTACTTTGGCTGGGTGAAAAACGACTGAGCAGACAAGTGAATTAAATCATCAAAAGTGCCCGGGCCATGTCTCGCATAATAGAGCTGATTTTATATTAAATTGGTGAAGTACTTTGGCTGGTGCCAAGGCCAAGTGGAAAATAACCGAGCAGACAAGTGAATTAAATCAGCAAAAGTGCTCGGGCTGTGTCTCGGATAATAGAGCCGATTTACTATTAAATTGTTGAAGTACTTTGGCTGGTGCCAAGGCCAGGTGAAAAATGACCA